GAAACCGTGGAGAAGACACGTCACCGTGGAGAGCCGTTAACCAATATGCAAATTATCCTGCAGTACCACTGCTCTACCCATATGAACAGCAAAAAGACGTTTTTAGACCAAATATTACAGATTTGAACAAATACGCACAAAAACATCAAAATTAGCTCAGAAACAGTATTATATAACATTTTAGACACATTCTAGACAGTTTATCAGCTAAAAAAAGTTAATTTTGGGGTAAGTTACTCTTTAACATGTCTTGTAAGATCTCGCAATATTGCATAAACTTGTAAATATTGTGCTTGATCTATTCTGAGTTTCAACCTCTGGCAGACAAGGTGTCAGGAAAAACACAATCCTTTAATAAAAGCTTGGCTTTAAATCATGGTCCACGTTTGATGTGTGTTAGCTACTGTCTTATTTGTCAGATTAAAAAAAAATCATACATAAGTTGCATTCAAACATGTTTTTGTGTAGCGGAATGGTGCAGTGGTTAGAATGGGTGAGTCTGTGATCAAATCCCCTGGTTGTCACAACAATTTGGGAGGGATCTGCTTTTACTGTGGGGTCTTGAGAAGGCCAATAAACCCCCACATCTGTTCGGTGGTCAGTTGTACCAGGAAGGACATCCGCCTTATGTCTCAAGAAGGCAGAAGCTGAAAAGACCTATTTTTATTTAGTTGTATACTTAAATCCCCCTCCTCCAGTAATGAGTAAACCAACAGGCCTTAAGATATGCTTGGGATGTTAACTGACTCCACATTTAATTGTGTATGTGTGTGTGTGTGTGTGTGTGTGTGTGTGTGTGTGTGTGTGTGTGTGTGTGTGTGTGTGTGTGTTGCGGGGGGGTGTTCTTACTACCCTTTCAATAACTTATAACTTAATAACTTAAAATGAGCAACTTCAGGGGTGTTTTTAAGCTGTTTAGGCCAGTGCCCAGCAGGGGGCGATAACGCACAGCAATCGTCTGTTTCTGATAATCAGTCATAGTAAGACAATTGTCTCTTTACACCAAAACTGCTGAAAGGAGTCAAAGAAATGATTTTTTTATTTGAAGTGTTTAATTTATTTGATGCATCTGATTGTGTTTTCTTTTTTGATCAAGGTCTTTTTATTATTTTTTTAAACAAACTACAAAAAGAACAGACTTGCAAAAACACAAAACAAAACACACACTCCCAAAATCCCTCCCATCTCTCCCCTCCTATACCGGATCCACTGAAACAACAAAAATCGATCTTGTTTTCACACAACAGGTTTGTGTACAATGAAACAATATTTAACCTTCACACAAAATTATCTGCTGAAATTTTTTCTACATAAGATACAAATGGC